ATGTAAATAAATCAAACAGTGCATTTTATAATAACAAAAAACACTAGTCCAGCCTTCAAAATGTTTATTTCTGATTGCTTTCTGTAGCTTTGTGATCACTTTGTATTAAAATTTACTTGCAGCTTTTTATCTTATAATTTCATTGCAATTACATCCAATGTCAATCCAAACTCAATCATACATAACAAACAGTTGTAAGATATTTACTAGATTTTTCCCAACAGTGTGTAACTGAATCAAGATTAAACCTAAAAATTTACCAGAAAATACTTTGAAGTAAATAAATTAAATAATAAATGGTATACAATATTGGGTGATACTTTAGTTTAGGTGACAGTTCTTACTGTTAGCTAGTGGCTTATTACATATTATTAAGATATTGGCTGTTTATTAGTACTTATAAAATGCATATTCTGCACAATCCTAAAAGCCTAATACATAAACCTTACCACTAATAACTATTATTAAGCAACAAATTAATAGTTCATTGAGGCAAACGTCTTAGTTTATGGTTTATTAATAGTAATTTATTAATATTTCACCTTAAAATAAAGTGTGAACAAATAATCATTCATTTTCTTTTCGGCTTAGACCCTTTATTAATCTGAGTTCAGCACAGAGGCAGAATGAACCGCCAACTTATCCAGCATCCAATTCCCTATAGTGCATGTTTTTATACTTATAAGGGGAAACCGAAGCAGTCGGAGGAATGCCACGGGGAGAACAGGCAAACTCCACACAGAAATGCCAACTGAACCAGTTGAGACTCGAACCAGCAACCCTCTTATTGTGAGGCGATGGCGGAACCCACTGCGCCACCGTGCCGCCCTGTGAACAAATATTGATAGAGAATAAACAAACGATCCTATTTTGGTATCTTCTGAAATAAATGTATCAAAGTGTTTGTAAATGTGTTGATTTCCAATGTGTTTGTAATTTGTTATGAAATTAACTAGCAGTTTCCTTCTGAAAAAGTAAATCTCACCAGATTTGTATTGTCAATGTAGATCTGATTTCTTAGTGTCAAGGTGCCCGGATATCATGTGTGACCTACAAAGGATGGCAACAGACTCGCTGAAGTGTGAATATGAGAAGGTCACTTCAGATGCACACTAACACACTGCTGCCCTCACTGAGATACACACTGACATGAATGAAACCCCTTTCAGCAGTGTTTTTACGATCGGAGGGGAAAAAACGTGTAGAGATTTATAACAGGGAAGAGTGGAATCATAATAAAGGCTTAACACACAGAGTGGTCATATGAAAGTGCCCGACTACAACATTCCTGTACGAATCAAGCAGAAGTAATTAAGAGACTGTAAATCAGCACTTTCAGAATTACATGTATGTGAACATGTCTGTCAGTCACCTTTAAAATGTATAGTAATTATTTCCATGCATGATAATTATCATTAATATGAATAAATACCTTTGTTAACTCCAAAAATGGACATCTGTCACTACATTAGGATTAAAAAAAGAACCAAGAATACAAATAGCATGATTTTTAACTTATGAAATGATTGCTTTTTATGTTGTCTAATAAGTTGTGGTGAAGTTGCTTTTAATGTAGCATTACGGTATGAATAATTGCTTTATAAGCAGTGTGTGATCATTTACGTCAGGTGAGTTGAGACTTGAGGTCATTTTAAAGCACATCAGTGTGTATTGTGGCTCCCCAGAATACAGTAAAGGCTTAATGACTAGCCATAACTCTCTGCTTTAATAATACAGTATCTCCCCAGATGCATATGTACTTGCAGATATAAATACGCCTTCAAATTAGAGAGGCAGAAATGTCAGAGATCTGAATACAAACACATATATAGACTCGAGCATGGATTTAGCAATCTCTCATGGTGTGTTAATAATTATTTTCTGCCTGTGCAAATAACAACGAGCCACTGGCTAACACTAGCTTATTCACATTGTCCTCCTGCCATTGAGACGTGACATGAATTTTAAAAAGGAAATTAATATTTTGAACCACACTTGTTGTAGAACCGAATGGATGTAAAATAACTCAAACCTTGTGCGAGTGAATACATTTTTATTAGGGTGTCTACAAGGTTTTTAAAAGTCGTGAATTTCCAAAACACAATTTTTTAGGGCTAGGGAGCACGGTGGCGCAGTGGGTAGCTCTCTCGCCTCACAGCAAGAAGATCGCTGGTTTGAGCCTCGGCTGGGGCAGTTGGCATTTCTGTTTGGAGTTTGCATGTACTACCCATGTTCGTGTGGGTTTTCTCCGGGTGCTCCGTTTTTCCCCACAAGTCCAAAAACATGTGCTATAGGAGAATTGGGTAGGCTAAATTGTCCGTAGTGTATGTTTGTAAATGAGAGTCTATGGAGTGTGTGGTTTCTCAGTGATGGGTTGCAGCTGGAAGAGCATCCGCTGAATTAAAAAATATGCTGGATAAGTTGGCGGTTCATTCCGCTGTGGCAACCCCAGATTAATAAAGGGACTAAGCCGAAAAGAAAATCAATGTATGAATGAATTTTAGTTCTTAAATTAGAAATATAATGTTGTAGGTCCTAAAAGGGTCTTCATTTTCCTTTTTTTTTTGTAAAGCTACCCAATCGATCCAACACACATCCAATCATTATACATCTCAATTAAACTTTTAGCAAAACTCTATTTATAAGGAATATTATAACATTTTGTTGGGCATACATTAGTTATTAAAGTTTTTAACAGTTATATTTTTTCTAGTTATGTTGAAAAAATTGCATATAACAACTAGGGTCTTCTTGATTTGACACATTATTTAAAATATTTGGCTTAAATAATTCATTAGATAACGTTTCTTAATGGGGCAAGATAATTTTTTTTTCTGCTGGGCCATTAAGACAAAAACCTAGCGTTTAGTCCTATTAATGTCTTAAATTGCAGGTTTGGTGGTCTTGAAAAGGTCTTAAAAAGTCTTAAATTTGACTTGGTAAAACCTGCAGAAACCCTGATATAATCATTTCATAAGTTTCAAAAGTCTTTCCTTCTCTTTGTTAGACTTACCATTCATTAGTCATTTAAAATGTTTCTCAAGCATTCACCAATGAGGACCTTTGTCCTGTCTTGCTGCCATTTGTGTCTTCTGGGGTTAAAGAGCAAAGTTCCCATAACCTTTGACCCATTATCTTTTGTGTCCTTCCAAGAGAGGTTTTTCTGAAAGGGAGAGTACACATTAAATGAAACCTTCCTGTTGATTTGCTAACCTTCTGGCCATCCAAGATATAGGTAACTTTTTTCTTCAGTAGAACATTAAAGAAGATTTTTAGCTGAAATTGTGTTTTTGGTGATTCATGTAAGGCAAGTCAGTGGTTAATAGGGCTGCACAATAAATCAAAGAGGATTGTCATGTGAATTTGTCAGTAAGTCGGCTCTATCATCAGTAGTAAATCTCCAGCATGTGCATTCAGATGGAGAAGCATTTACGTTACCGAGCTACAGTTTACTGTCAAGCAATAGTCAAATATTAATTGCAGATAATCATTCATTCATTAATTTTCTTTTCAGCTTAGTCCTTTAATTAATCTAGAGGCTACTTACTTATCCAGCACATGTTTTACAGAGCGGATGCCCTTCCAGCCCCAACCCATCCTTGAAAACATCCATACACACTCATTTACATACATACACAACGGACAATTTTAGCTTACCCAATTCACCTATACCACATGTCTTTGGACTCGTGGGGGAAACCGGAGCACCTGGACCCGTAGGAAACCCATGCGAGTGCAGGGAAAACAAGCAAACTCTACACAGAAATGCCAACTGACCTAGCCGAGACTCGAACCAGCGACATACTTGCTGTGAGTCGAACGTGCTACAAACGTGAACTCTGGCTCTGTGTAGTACATGCTTCTACATCTGAATGCATGTATAAAAAAGACATTTAATGTCTTATTTTTACTCCAAACTTAATTCATACTGTAAAATCAGTCAAATGTCTGAAATAGATCTTGAAGATGATGTGTCTTCTTACACAGAATATGGCACGCACCAAATTTCATAGTATTCTAAGCAGAGACAAAGGCATTGCATCATTACATACTTTATTATCAGGAAAATTAATATTAAGAAGAACTGAGACAAAGCCAAATGTTGCTGTAGTGGTGTGCTTATTAATCGTGTTTCTTTGGGGCATATTTGGTGGTTCTGTTCGGCTTGGAAGAGCACCCTCTGGCATTCAAAATAGAATTACTACTGATCCAATCACCTGACGCCTATAGGATATGGAGGACAATTGCAGCTTTTGCCAATTTACAAGTGTGATTTAAGGTTGAAATATCATGAAGCCCCAACAGCTGCCAGCACTTCAAGAGCCAAAAAACTCAAAACATATACAATAAAACAAATAAAATACCTGTGGATCTTGACAACACATTGAGGTATTGTTAAGCAAAATAATCGTTCTGTGCAAGAAACGTAACTTTTTTGATATTATTGCCTAAAAAAAATGTTGTGATTGTGTTCGCTTCTAGAGCATGAGCCTCATGTCACTTAATAAAATATATTTAGTTTTGTCTGTATATGTTTTTTTCTGAATCTTAACCCTCTAACTTTTTTTTGGCTCACATCTTTGATTAAATAATAAACGGACATAACTCTGATAAATAGTATGATAACCTATCATAATGATAACAGATCAACCAGGAGGTTACGATGCCTGTTAAAGGGTTAAAGCAGTAGCCGTTGACTTATATTTTATTAATCACTATGGACCACGGTTTTAGCTTAAATTATATATTCTTTAATGTTGTGCTGAAGAAAAAAGTGACCTATATCTTGGATGGCCTGAGGGTAATTAAATTACCAGTCAATTTTCATTTCTGTGTGAACTATCCAATTTCCTCTGTTCTAATTTAAATAAAGTTATTGTGTGCAAAAAACATAGTAAGTTGAAGTAATCTGGTCTAATTTTGGGTCATTTCTCTCTCTGTACATTGCATTGGAGCAATATAACTTTATCCAACAGGCTTTGTACGTTTTGTGTTTACAGCACCAGGAGGGGAGTCTGGGACCCCCCATCATTGTGTGCACACGTCCGTACCCAGAGTGCCAGCTGTACTCGGACGAGGAGGGAATGGGTGGACGGGACATGCAGGAGTCAGACATGGACAGTGCTGCGGACAGCGGAGCAGGATCTGAATCTTCTGAAGGAGGACGGCAGGATGACAAAGAAGAAGGACTGGGGGGATTCTTTTTACGTGGAAACAAGTCAGCATCATTGATAAATAATTACATTTAAAGTGGTAGTACACCCAAAATTGTACATTTGCTCACCATTTTCTCAGCCTCAAGTGGTTTCAGAACATTAAGTCTCTTTCTTGTGTTGAAAACAAAAAGAAGATATTTTGAAAAATGTTGGAAACCGGTAACCACTGGCTTCCTTAGTAGGAACGTTTTCTATGGAAGTCAATGGCTGTTCATTCTTTTAATGTATATTCGATAATATTCTTCAGAATATCTGCTAACTCAAATAGAGGAAAAATTATGACAGAATATTTATTTTTGGGTGAACAATACTTTTATAAAGTACTATATTTATCTTGTACATAGAGTAAGAGCTGTTTCTCTGCTTGTATAGCTGTGGTCAGATGGTGTCGTCAGCTGCAGCCTCAGTAATCTCAGTGGAGGAGCAGTTTGAGGACTATGGAGAGGGAGAAGATGTGGACTTCACTCCCAGCAGCCCCATCCCAGATGATGATACTCGCACCAATGGTTTCTCTGACCTGGGCTCATCTCTACCATCCAGGTTCACTAACTCACTTTAGTTTACACCTTTTACATAAAACACAGGTGCATGGCGTTAGTCTGTGTGATCCACTTCATTTGAATTCATGAATGAATATTGTGTAAATGGCAAGAAACCAGAAAATAAAAATGTCTAGGCCAAAACAATGTATTACTTTAATTCTGCTTATATTTGTGCCAAATATTGTTCTGGTAATTAAGTGGATCTGTACTCAAATTATAATCATCATTTTTGCAAAGTTTTTTTTTATAAAATATAATTTTGCGATATAAACTAAAACAAAACATTTGCTAATTATTATAATTAATGAATTACTGATTTTTATTTAGCTCTTATGTAAAGAGTATTGTCCTCTTTGTTAACAACTTGTTGTCTACAGTATATCTAACTGACAGTATTTTAAACCAATTCTTAAGGAGTCCTTAATATGAAAAAATACATAAGTTGTGTGCTTAAACCTAAGAGATATCTTGAAAATCAGTAATTATTTACATATTTACGCTGTCACAAGTGTGCTTTGAAAAAAAAGTAAATAGATAACCACATTATCTATTTACATCTAAGCTAATTAGACAATAATTAGTACATTACATTGACAAACGAATAAAGAAATCACTATTTTTACTTATCATACCTGCCAACCCTGCTGTTTTCCCCAGGATTCTCTTGTATTTTCCCGTATTTCTCCTGTATTTTCAGTCTTTCTATAAAGGGTGGCAATAAACCCTAAAGGGCTAATCCTCCCTATAGGCAACCTATACTGTCAAACCTTGGTCTTAAATGTTCATAAATCTGTTCTGTTTTTTCATTGTATTTAGGCATGAAAACACTTTGAAATGAAAATAAAAATGTAAGGAGCGAAAGTGGACTCTGGGATTTGGGTGCATGTTTAAACAGAACAATAATAATATTCTTATTAATATTAATAAAAATAATGATGATAATAATAACAACAACATCTAAACCTGTCGATCTTGGTGGGTTTTCTTTTAAACACAACAAATTTTGTCTAAAATGACCATAAACAGTTAGGAAAGCAATCCAATGCTTTCATTATAGATCTGATGTTATTTCACATAGTCAAGTGAAAAATCTAAATGAGAGATACATTCGCTACTCTTTAATCAGAATGGGGGGGGGGGGGGGGGGGGTTAATTTCACATCCCAATGTTGACAGGTATGATACTTATATTAATGTATTAATGTAAAGACTACAATTTCTAAATTATGAATGAGCTAAAATAGTTTGCTTATGATTTAAAAGTAAGTGCTGTGTGCGTGCTTATCGTAATGTATTACTATAATTTGGGTCTAAATGTACTATTGCAGCAAAATTTTATTCCTCATTTATTTTATTTGAAATATGGCCTGGACAAATTTTCATGAGAGTCACTTCATAAGAATGCTGTCAATATAAATTATATTTATTTATAATTTAAAGTTGCTGGGAAATTTTGATAACTATTAATCACCTTATTGCTAAACATGGAGCAATAATTATAAAACTTATAAAAATTCTTTTTCCAACTATGCTTTTCACTAGCTTACCATACTTTGCCAAAACATCTGAATGCTTCTCCTGTCAGTACTGATAATCTGTTGATGGTGTTTCAGTGCTGGTCAAACCCCTCAGAAGATCCGACACCTGTACAACAGTGAGCTTCTGGATGTTTACTGCTCTCAGTGCTGCAAGAAAGTCAACCTGCTCAATGACCTGGAGGCCAGACTCAAGAACCTCAAAGCTAACAGGTACAAACAAGTCTAAAGCACGCCAAGCTTATGACTTAATACACGCATTGAGTGCTGCAGGGATGGTTTAAAATTAAAAAAAGTGGAAGTTGGCATCCCAATCTCAGATAGTCTTGCTTAATCAAACACTCAAATTGATGGCAGAAGTCAAGTACTTCCATTGACCAAGGACTAACAAGAGGCCGTCTGACTGACTCACTCTCACTTTTTCCAGTATTAATGTAAAGTTGATGTCCCATGAATGACAAAAAAAGTATATGTGTTTTTGCTTTGAGCATGCCTAAAGCAAAACCCTTGGAAGTATTTTAGTCTGTAAACATACTTTTGAAGAAACAATGTTTAGTTGATCGTGACAAGTGCTTTTTGTAACAGGTGTAAGCACACCAACCTTGTTTAAACATAAGAGTTTGACATTGTGACAGTTTTGTATCAGAGGAACTGTTGAATAATGTCATGTGTGTTCAGAATTGGATTTTATAGTTAGGGTTTTGAATTATTCCGGGGATTTGCTTTGTGACCAATCAAAAGTTTGTGATTTTTAACTTTTTCCTCCATTAACATAATCAGCACAATTAACACAAATGTTTGAAACCAAAATTTAATCGACAGATTCTGCGCAGGACTGATTTTTTTAGTTCCGCTCCCACCAGGTATTATTCCACCCCTGCTGTATTGCATCTTTGTTCACCCGTTGGCTGCATAGAATAGTTTTCGCAACCTGACCATTCGCGCTAAATTTTTCAATCTGGTTTCCAAAATCTTATGTTTAAATTGGGTAATACCAAAAGAGAGAGTTAACAGATGAAACTGTAGGTTGTGCAAGGATTGTAGGCTAAATGTCAGTTTTGTTTGCCCCTTTGTGATGAGACATGAGTGTCACCTTAAACCTGACGTTCCAGTCTTCTGAAGCTGGTGGCACACCAGATGCATTGCTCAGCAGTGTGTTGTGGCATGCATATGACAGTTGGAAGTAAAATTCACCAGACGCGCATGTTCTTTAAAATGAAACTATTAAGATGTGGCGTGGCAGATATATGAACAGTGTCGTAGTAGGGTGCTGCAGACAGCTGCTGACTTGCAGCGCCGGTGTGTGTACCCTGATAGAAATCTGTGTAGAATTCTAAAATGCATGGTGCTGCATCCGGTGTGTGACCCCCTTGACTGCTAAAGGGTAAAACTTTGAGGTATCATCAGATCAGGCAAAGGGTATTTTTTTTCCATTTGTGTCTAAAATGCATGAAAATGACTCCCATACATCAGATTTGCCTGATGTGGGTTTCCTAACAGTAAACTGACCGTTTTCTAAAGCAAACTGAACATCCTTCAAGGACAACGCATCTTTACTTTGCTCTGCCATGATAAAGCCCACTCTGAGGACCGTTATGCAGATGATGCACACGCAGAAAGCACTGGTCCATGCGTTCAGCATGTGTAACATTGAGCACTGGCTGTACCGGTGCTCAATAAGAATTAGGAAAACACAGATATACAGTTCCAAAATAATGTTAGGACTTGGAAGCGATATATTGATAGACTGCCCAGTCCAATTTAAATTACACCAGAATTACTGACCACTACCGCATTTTATTCTGAAATTTATTCCCGCGCTGCAAGAAATCTGGTTGGATCTCACAATACAGCTGTGGGAATGTAGACCTCTAAACTACAGTAGAACTACAACACTGTGTCACTTTTCAGCATCTATGGTTCATATTAAAGGTGACCTATTATGCCCCTTTTTATAAGATGTAAAATAATTATCTGATGTCACAAGAGTGCGTATGTGAAGTTTCAGCTCAAAATCATGTTTTATAACTCTTTGAAACAGGCTTTGATCCAAAATGTGGTGACTTTCGGTGTAAATTCTAATAAGATTGTGCTCTTTTGAAAAGAAGTTTGAGCTAAAAACTGCAGATTTTAAACAGGACTACTGTTATTTCTGACAAACTGAAAATGTCAAAAGAAGTGCATCCGAATAGTCTACGTGTTCGTTTGTGCATCCTGAAAACTATGGCTGTTTATGCTAATGAGGGAGAGATTATCACCAATGGGCGGGGCCTCCCCCACATATGACATGTAAAATAGCAAAATGTCAATCAAAGTGTTTCTGCAGAGTTTTAATCAAGGGGCAATTAAAACATACTATTAATTAAAAATATAGAAATAAACTAATATATTCTGACCATCAAGAGGCTGGCTATATTCACACATTTGTGTTTAAACCCCTTTAAATCCCTTATAAAAATTATTTTTGCATAAAAGATCCCCTTTAAATGGCACAGCACCACACTTCTGACAAGATCTTCTGCATGTGTGGGTTAACTCTAGATATATTTTTATGAGTGTCTTTAATCACCCTGGTCTGTCAGTAGCTTTATCTGGAGACGGGCTTCATCAAAGGAGCTGTTACCATAGCAACAGTGCTCTAGTCAAGGGTTTACTCATCTTTGTGAGTGTTATCAGACAGAGTGGGAAAACCGAGGCCCTCAGGAAAAGCATAGAGTGTTCAAGTAGGTGTGTGTGTGAGGCAGAGTTTGATGAAAACTGCTAAAATAATCCTTATATTATTGTGAAGACCCCTATCAAATTTGGCACTTCAGGAGAGCGACACTTCAATCCATAATCTGTAACAAGGCTGTAATGCATCGTGGGATTATGAGGATTGTGCCTCATGCTGACACACTAAGAAATTATACACATAGAGGCTCTGCCAAAACAGCTAGTGTGCTCATCTTCTTACGTAGTCATCTGCAATTCAAGACAGCATCCTATCCTTCATGAACAATAGGAGTTATTTTGTGACTAGATTTTTTAAGTACACCGCACACAAACATGCAAAAAAAAAGAAAAGAAAAGAAAATAGTGCCACTATGTTTCCTGTTTATTTTTTATAATAATAATTCCAGCGACGCAGTGGTGCAGTAGGTAGTGCTGTCGTCTTACAGCAAGAAGGTCACTGGTTCTAGCCTCGGCTGGGTCAGTTGGCGTTTCGGTGTTGAGTTTGCATGTTCTCCCTGCGTTCGCGTGGGTTTCCTCTAGGTGCTTCGGTTTCACCCACAGTCCAAAAACTGGTGATTTGGGTTGGCTAAATTGCCTGTAGTGTATGAGTGTGAATGAGTGTGTATGGATAATTTCCAGAAATGGGTTGCAGCTGGAAGGGCATCCGCTGCGTAAAAAATATACTAGATAAGTTGGTGGTTCATTCCGCTGTGGTGACCCCGGATTAATAAAGGGACTAAGCCGACTAAGAGACTAATGAAGATGTTTATTCAGAGTAGCAGTCTTAAAATACACGGCAGTACCCTGGTTTCATTTGAATCAGAATGAACCCTGAACATTCTTAAACTCAAACCTTTTATACTGTTTTGGATGTTGCCTTTAGACTTGCCTTTAGATGTTAATGAAGTTGCTTTTTGGCTGTTGAAGCAGCTGTGCTCTCAATGTTAATGCATGTTACACACCATTGATGAGATGGTTCTCTGTGCACCACATCATCCCCATTCTACAATGATTACCAGTTGGTCAAGATGTAGTCACCTAAAACAATGCAGAGACCACAAACTGTTGACTTCTCTTTTATCTCACAATTCAGCCCTTTTAAATGAGCATCAACACATCATTTAAATTGGAAGTTGGGTCATGGTAGACTCATTAATTTCTCACAATATATTGGGGCGTTAGGATCCACACAGACCACAGGTTCAGCGCCCCTTGCCGGTCTCAGTAACACCACTTCAGGCAGCAACCTAGCATTCCCATGTGGTCTACAATCCAGGTAATGACTGGGCACAGCCCTGCATAGCTTCAGCGGGCGATCATGTGAGAGTTGCAGAGCTGCCGGCTTTTTCCTCATAGGTATTTAAAAAAGTCATGAACCAAACCAACCAGCTACAATGAGAATAACAACAATGCAAATTTCTAAGTAATGCAAAGAGATTTAAAGCTATTTATACTATTAATATAAAGGTCTAATATATTCTAAATTTATTGAAAATTGGCATATTGGCATATGGACACCTGATTATTGTATCTACGGTTCTTCATGGAAGTGGGTGGAGCTAACTGAAGTTAAATTGGAGCTAAAGATCTGATTTGACAGCTTTGCACACCGAGACTGATTGGTGGAATTTTCTGCACATGAATGTGTTTATCATTACAGTTGCATATTAAACATGACCTTTGCAAGATTCAGTTGAGTTAAGGTTGACAAGTGGGTTTAATAAATGCAAAAACTATTTATTTACAGTGTTAATTGTCATTTACAACAAGTCTCCAAAATGTCAGTAGCAATTGTTTAAAAACGTATTCCCTGTGGAGAAAATGTATTGAGCTTTTACTTCTGGAACTCAGTTCTTGCATTCTATCCTGCTGCTGTTAAACAGGATTATTATATTGAAAATTGAAATAAATCACATGACCTGAAAACAAATATAAGCTTATCAACCATATACCGTAGCTCTTTTTTTGGAAGATATGTATGTAAAAAAAATCAATAATTCTATGGTTTAAAATCAAATTCTTTATGAAAAAGCTTTGACATTGGAGGTTAGCATGTTGCTAAGCTAATAGCTTGTTCATTCTAATAACCATAAAAAGACCATCATAAAATCAACACATTGGGCACAATTATTGGAGACAATTAGAGTTTATTAGAGAGAAATAATAAATAACTTTTTTTGTTCTGGCTGAATTATGTCTACTTGTTAAATCTATTCTTTTTGATTTTACAGGATTGCCTTCAATTTTTAATATGGTAAATTCTGTTAAAATGAGGTCATCAAAAAGGTATTACAAGTTGTTACCTTTTTGAAACAGCCTATAGTTTTGAAAAAGAGCAAGAGAGGCTGTTCAGTAAGAGCTGTGCAGTTTCCTTTTCTCTGGGTGAATAGGTGTGTTGGGGAAGTGAGATCATGTGGCATTCGGCGGCCTTTGCCTATTAATCCTCTGGCATTTTTTGTCCAAATCCTACACTGCATACTCTGCTGAAGTCAAAATGCATTCATGCAAAACATAATCGACACCAATTTGAACTATAACCCTGTAATGACCTGCAAACATTGAATTAATTATTGTGAACTAACAAATAAATAAATTAAAAAATGCCATAAGAAAATGTTCTAATTATTTCTTTAAAATAAGTCAACTACAGTAACGGGTCACGAAGAACTGCTGCACTTTTGAGGGCATGTGCATTGTCCTTTTCTTCCTTGCTTTGCAAACTGTCTGGGTCTATGATGTTGTTGTGGTTTAAAGTGTTTTGTCAGTGCTGTGACAGCTGGCTTGAGGATGAGGACAGGAGAGCTGACTTGTATTTCGACAAGCTGTATGAGTTCAGACCTGTGTGATGTAATGAGAGAAGGGCTTTAAAGAGTGACGTGGGTCACACAGTTATATAAACACAAGCAGAGGTTTATAATTAGACTACAGGTAGTCTATTTTTGCAGAGGTTCTCCAGAGCCGTCTGATTATCAGTGTAATCTCGTGACCTGCAGGTCCAAACTGACTGCAGTACACCATACCAGTCACTAGAAAGACAGAGAGTCAGTGATTAGGCTGCAAAACAAAGCTGATTAGCCTAGCCTCTGTCTGTCTGTGTGTTTATGTATCTGTCTACAGTATCTGTCTGTCTGTCTAAGTACGTTTTTCTGTGTTCGTCATACAGTTAAATTGTCTGAATGGTATTTTTACAGTTAGGATATACCGTCATCTTGGAATTATAAGGTTTTATCAGTGTTCGGAATGATTTTGAGATTTTGACCTTCAAACTTATAAAAAAGCATCCCATAATGTGAATAAGTTGTCATTTAATAAGAATTTGTCAATAACTAAATTTTGACAAAAATGTCAGATAGAATCTTACAATTCTAAGGTGACGATATGTATAGAAAAATTGTTGAACGTGTGGATTTTAGGAACATGTTTTGTGTGGATAATAAATATGTACGGAAGCTGCAAAAGACAGTAGTAGTTAAAGGACTCCTTTCTCTAATCAACTAATAAATAGATTTTTTTCTTTTTCATTTTGCAGCCCAAACAGGAAAATTTCCAGTACTGCTTTTGGCCGGTATGTTTTCATCTCAATTATTTTCAAAAAAGATCAGTTCAATATTATATATCTACATATGAAATATGTAAAGTGCTTCATACCTAAGTCACTAAGTGGTTAAAGTATAGGCTGGTAAGTAACTTCATCTAAATTGTCTGATTTTGTGTTGTGTCCTGCAGTCAACTCTTCCACCACAGTAACTTCAGCAGCAGTCAGGGCAGCACTGAAGACCTGTTCAGAGACAGCATTGACTCCTGCGACGTTGACATCACCGAGAAGGTACCGAAAGTGCACTGATTAATTGCTTGTTGTGATGTGATTCAGTAAGTGTTGCAGATAACAAAATGCTCTTCATTCCTAATGCAGGTGAGCTATTTAGAAAAGAAGATATCTGAGCTGGAGAACGACAGTCTGGCTAATGGAGATCTGAAATCAAAACTTAAACAAGAAAACACACAACTAGTTCACAGGTAAAGATGAGAGAGATCGGAATGTTAAGTTCATATGCAGGACTGTATAAAAAGAAATCTGTTGCAAATGCCTGGGTGATTTTATTTGTATTAATTGTTTTGTTTTATTTTTGATAGATTTTTTAAAATTATTATCAGGGTTGAAATGATTTTTTGAAATGTTACAATGTTATCTACAATAGTCATATTCAGCACGGTGCAATACACTGACTTGAAAACTTATAGTTAGGACAGTTATCAAGTTTCCAGTTTCAAAGAAGTTTCTAAAAGATTTCAATTTCAATTAAATGCTGCGCTTCTGAAATTTCTCTTCATTAAATTATACTGAAAAAATGTATTATCTTTCTTGAGCAGGCAAATTCAGGCTTGCATCACAAAATTAAATGACATTTAAAAATGAAATGAAATTTTACATTTTTGTTTAAATATAAATATTCTTTGTGAAAATGAGAGAGATATGTGTGACGGATTTCCTAATGTCTCTGTGTGCTTGTTTGTACACGTTTTGCCATTAGGGTACATGAGCTGGAGGAGCAGATCAAAGATCAGGAGACGCGTGCAGAGCAATGTTTGGAGGAGGAGCTGAAGAGACACAGAGAGGCCTACAGCAAGATGGAGAGAGACAAGAGCACTGAGATTGAACTGCTCAGTAACAGGTACCTAAAACCAACAGAAAACTCACAAAACATCAATCTGAGTGGAGGTTTCAAAACTGTAGAGCACAGAAATCATTATCAGCAGGACATATAATGAATGATATCTCTCCATAGGGTCCAGCAGCTGGAAGAGGAGAATGCAGAGATGAAAGTGAATGTTTGCAGACTCAAGTCTCAGACTGAGAAACTGGACCAGGTCAGATATGCATCGAAACTCAATCTAAAACTCTCTTGACTACCATGGCCCGTATGCAGGGTTGGAAATTAATTTTACATTAGAGGGAATATATGCCCAATGGATTTGATTTTCAGGGGAATTTTTTACCTTTTACCATCATAAGGGCAATTTCTTTGGTAATTGCCTTTTTAAAGGGGTCATGAACTTCTTGTACTATTCACTGAGGTCAACTTATAATGTTATTATTATAAAGAGTACTTTAAATAATGAGAAAATTATCATTTTAGGTGAACTTTCTCTTTAGGTCAGTAAGTGTTCATGGTAGAGCAAAATGTTATTATTGGTAAATAATCTGAATGCCTCTGATTAGCCATTCTGGTCATAATCTCAACAGAATGTTTGTGTGGTTGTCTAGCTCAGTACTGCAACAAACACTGATGCAACATGGATAGATCTGAATGTAATGCTTCAGACTGTCATGGTTTTTGAGTGCATTTTTGTTCTATTTGTTGCCATTTTGGCATATTTGTCCCCATTAATGTCAAAACCTGCCCACAGATGCATCAATTCATCAAGTCTGGCTTAACTTGTTTTAATGCAATGCCAAGCATCTTTCAAAGCACACTATAATGTGCATGAATATGGAATGCACCAGTTTGACAGGTGTGCAGTGCAGCTTGTTTTGTTTTTAAAGATTTATTTATCAGATTTATTATGACAGTTAAACAAACAAGAGTAAAAAAAGAAAATAGCAGTATAAAAAACTATATATATTGTATTCTGATGTAAAATACTGAGAAGCATTTTGTTTTGTTTTGTTTGTTCATTTGTGTGTTTGTTGGTTTGTGTTGGATCTGACACATGGAAATGTGCATTTACATGTTACTTAAAATATAATAAAAAGGAATTGGAGAAAAAAACTATATCTATATATATACGTTATATACATACATACAGTTGAAGTCAGAATTATTAGCCCCCCTGTTTATTTTTTCCCCAATTTCTGTTTAACGTAGAGAAGATTTTTTTCAACACATTTCTGAAGATAATAGTTTTAATAACTCGTTTCTAATAACTGATTTATATTATCTTTGTCATGATGACAGTAAATAATATTTGACTAGATATTTTTCAAGACTCTTCTACACAGCTTAAAGTCACATTTAAAGGTTTAACTAGGTTAATAAGGTTAACTAGGCAGGTTAGAATAATTAGGCAAGTTATTGTATAACAATGGTTCGTTTTGTAGATCGAAAAAATATATATCTTAAAGGGGCTAATAATTTTGACCCTAAAAATATTTTTTTTAAAAGTTAAAACTGCTTTTATTCTAGCTGAAATAAAACAAATAGGACTTTCTCCAGAATAAAAAATATTATCAGATATACTGTAAAAATTTCCTTGCTCTGTTAAACATCACTTTGAAAATATTAAAAAAAAGGACATAAAATTCAAAGGGAGGCTAATAAATCTGACTTCAACTGTAAGTACAAAAATGATTTAAAATATAATAAAACTATAAATAAACCACACTATAACCCACATATTGTACAAAAACAATATATGATGTGCATAAACAATATACGATGTGCATTCATTTATACAAATTAAGCATATGAAGTTGGCAGCATGGTGCATTTAGTAAAATAAAAACAATTATAATAAAAGAAAAAAGAAAAGAGGAGAGAGAGAGAGAGAGAGAGAAGAGGGAAAATATATCAAAGTGATCAATAAAGCCTGTTCTGTTCACACATTCAAGCAAACAGAAAAACTGGGCTGCACATGGACTGTGCATGGATGTCCAAGGACAAAATAATTGGGTCACAAGGACAGACAGCAAATGGCAGAAGTCTACATTGGGGTTTAAGCATTTAACGGTTAAAAGAACTTTGCTCTCGCCCATTTTCACACCGTCAATTCTGACCTCGATGAAGCATTTTTTGACACATTTCAGCAGGAGGTGAAATCCCTGGAGCTCGTCAGTGTTCACAGCTCGCTCTTTGGTGCTGCTTGCATTAGTTAGTGTAATGAGTGTGAAAGCTGCAGCCTGCATGACATTAGCAGCCCTTTATTTTGACACGAAGCCTGTGAAGCTTTGATCTTTGAGTATGAAACATTGCAGATCAATACCACTCTAGACCGTAGTCTATCTATATAGCTAAAATAAAATCAGGTCACTGTCTGATGTAGCTAATTGAAATTATAGGTCCTCTTGTGGGCTGAACTGAAAATGCAATTTCAGCTTTTTTTAGATAATTAAACAAAATTTATGATGAAATCGATGTATTGAATTTTAATGCTGATTTGAAATAAATAAAAAATACACTTTATCCTGTATCCTGATCAACAAATGTCTTATTAGTTTGACATGCTATATACTGGAAAGCAATTCACATCATTTGTGCAAGTAATTATTTTCTGTTATCAGTCAACATTCTACAGCTAATCTAGTTCCACCCTTTAGGTCCTATACTACGATGCAGGGTACCACAATGGAAGGGAAGGCTACTAAAAAAAATTGGTATATTTAGATATTATGGTACCATTCATAATTTGTGGAAGCAAGCTCTAGTTTCTAGTTGCTTACCCAGAAAACAGCTAGAAGAGGCATTAAAATGGCTGCCAAATGAGCTGACTTGCTTAAAGGGAAATTTGCCATTCAAATGTGTATAGTTTATTTACAATACACATTGTTTCAAAGCAGCTTTACAAAAAGTCATACTGTTCTGTGTAAAATTTCTTACAGCTTTATTGTAGAGCACTTTTAATGCTGCTATAAATGCTATTTTGTATTTATTTTAGTCTAGCATTTATTTATTTATACTTAAAATCACTATAGTGGCACTTAAATAATAAAATATAAAGTACAGCTTTAATTGTATTTGGTGTTTTATTTCTGAAAGCTCTAAAAGTGTTTTTCCAAGATTAAATCAAAAAATTAAAATATTAAATAAAAAAATAGATAGATAAAAATGTTTCAATGTCATATGACCAGATGAGCTTACATAAATTGTATAGTGAAATTTTCAAACTGCAAGAAATATCTGGGATTACATGGGTTAATAATAACAATGTGGTGTAAAAAAACAAGACATTATATCCTTATCAGTGCTTCCCTCACATAGACTTTACTTGAGTGGGCCACCCAGGTATAGTAATGGCCGCCCAAGTATATTTAGTGACACGTTTTTTTTTTTACTATTATTATTATCCTTTTACATAGTTTTGTATCTGCCCAATATAAACAAACATCCGCAATCGATTAAGAAGTAGAAAATGTCTTGTTTACCCATTTCGTTTAGAGTGCGCGTGAACTGTCACTACTCCCACAGTGTCACATGCTCCGCAGACACACAGAGACGCTCCTTTTTGGCAATTAAAAAATTAATCCGACAGGGTTTCTAAATATCCAGGATACGGCTTTTACTTTCTAAAGCTGTCGTTTGTTAATCCTATGCATTTTTGCATGAACTTTTTTCTTAAGTCACGAGAGAAACATTCAAAATAATTCATTGAATCTAAACTATCTAAATCTAGACTCAGAAAAACTTTACTAAATACTCGGAGAGGATGAAATGACTGGTCTAAACTTCCTGCAAATTATATGTACACCATTAGTAATGGTTAACCAAAGCATTTGCCTTATTTAAATAATCTACATGCTTGAATCTTGTAATAATGATCATTTATAGAGATATTGTCTGTTTTATTCCCTTTTCTGTCATTTATCATTTGGTGTATATTTTATCACTTTGATGTCAGTATATTACATAGGCTATTTATGTACATATCTAAAATGCTTTAGCATTCAAGTTTGCATTGAACTTGAAAGAGAGAAGCAGATTTGACCTGTCAGTGGGTGCACATGGCCCTTGAATACTATAAAAGTAAGAGAAAATGTGGATTTTTATTTTATTTTCAACAATCCTAACCCTAACCCATTGAAAAAAGAAACATTTAAAGCTATTATAAAACATTATAAAACTATGTTTTGTTTGTCGCATATGGTTAATTATTTATGTGATGTGGGTATATTTCAAGTATATCCACGAGTATATTTCAAACCTAAGAAGCACTGCTTAATATGATTGTATATATTTGTATGCATGCACAGGAGAAGCAACGTATGACGGATAAACTGGAGGACACAAGCCTGCGTTTGAAGGATGAGATGGATCTGTACAGGAAGATGATGGACAAACTTTGGCAGAACAGACATGAGTTTCAGAAGGAACGAGAGGCCATGCAAGAGGTAACAGCATCAATTTCATTGCAGATTACAACCATAACATACTGCATGTACACGTAAATGTACAGACCTCTCATCTGATACATGTGTGTGTTTAGCTGATTGAGGACCTGCGGCGTGAGCTGGAGCATCTACAGCTCTTTAAACTGGAGACAGAGAAGCCTGGACGTGGACGTACTGCTGCTGGACTGTCTGAATACAACGCCAAGACTCGAGAGATCGAACTGGAGCATGAAGTAAAAAGGCTTAAGCAGGTACAGCAGACAGATATGCTAATGCTTCTTGTATTGTCTGTCATATATATGCAGATAAATTAACTATCAACATTATATATCAACTATCAAGCTCCAAAAAGCACCTGAAGTATCCCAAAATTGGCATATGTGTTATATTTAAACAAAGTTGTAGTCATTATTTAATGAAAATTGTATTACTTAAAAAAATGTATTATGTATTGTACAGGCTTTTGACTCCAAGGCTAAGACTTTTTTTAATTTAGTATGATGGAATAATGAATGGCACACTGACGTGGTTAATCTACAAACAGGAAAACCATAAACTCAGAGACCAGAACGATGATCTGAATGGACAGATTCTCAGCCTCAGCCTTTATGAGGCCAAAAACCTGTTCGCTTGTCACACCAAGGCCCAGTCGCTGGCGGCGGAGATCGATAACGCTTCAAGAGATGAGGTGAGAACAACATCAACACTGCACTACACCCAGCCTCACACACGAGCACTGACTGGCACTATAAGGCAATGCATTTTAGTTTTGGCACCTGCCAAAAATGTTTTTATTTATTGCAGTCTCTGTATTTCAACTCAAACCCTGCAGAATTAAAACTAGCAACCCTTCTTTTGTAATGTTACATTGTTATCAGTATGTCTAATTTAATAGTGTTCACATCTCATTATGTGAAAAGAAGCTTATTTGTCAAATGTTTTCACATGACTTTCATTGATGATTTGCGAGACTGATGGAGAACAGGAAGTGTTTCTTCTACATAGGAATCGCTATCAGAACATCAAAAATGTTTGTTTTATGTTGTTTATAATTGTTTAAATCTGCCAAAATTAGACAACTTTTATAGACTTCTAAAAGTTTTTGCTCATAAAGGGGGGAAAGTTCTAGAAACTGGCTAGAACAGCAGCATGTAATAAACATTCAATCAATATATCCATGTGTACAAACTTTTTGAAGATGATAATTTGTTTGACAGCACCAGTAAAGATTATATACAGGCCTATCTATGTGTATAAATATGTTAATGTTTTATATAAAAATAAGATGCAAACACCACCACACTTATACAAAATCCAGAAGAATATCAAAAACATACCCTGCCATGTAATCGCTGTAATGAAATCGTCATCTTGTTTTGCAATAATTCATGTTTTTACTGGCATTTTGGTAATGTAACAACTGTAACGTGAACATCTATATGTGCAGCAGCAGTAAATGTTTGTTGAAAAAAAAAGAACTCTGTACTCTTGTGACAAAACTAGACTGTTATTATTGTGGAGCAATTTTTTGCCTTTACAAAAATAATTAACAATGTAGATTATGCGTCTACGCTTTTGAATGCGTTTATTTGTTATTTTGTGATGTCTGGAAGATATACTATAGTAAGTTAAAGTAATTTATAATAAACATGTTTTTGAAGAACGTAGTAAAGTGTATAATGTGACAACTCTTTGTCAATGAATACAGCAGAATACCATAGCACAGTAAACTGATAAACTGTAATAAATAACGTTAGTGTAAACTGTGGTGCATTGTGATTACAGCGTAGAACACTGAAGCCTACTAAATAATTAATTCTACAGTTGTGTTGAACCACAGCAACAATATAATTACTACGACAGTTTAATTCAAGTAATTATCTTTAGTATGTTTCCAAACACTGCAGTATTTACTGTAGTATTTTTCATGTAATGTAATTATTCATTGCATCGATGACAGGCAAATATATGTTAGTTCAGTAGAAAACTCAGCCCACTTCATGATATAAGGATCATGCCTTACATATTTGGTAATTTTCTAAATATATCTCTTTTGAAATATGGTATAAATCGCAAAAATACAATGTATACAATGTATATGTCTCCCATTCAGTTTTTACTTCCTGCCCTTCAACTGAATTTTGCACTTTACCAGAACCACATGATTGAAAACAACCTATTGAAGAAAATATTCTCTGTTTTACATATTTTGTCCATATACAACATAGGCAAAGCAAAGAAAAAGAAAACAAGAAAAAGCCATATCATAATAATAAATAAAAAAACACCCACATAACAAGCCAACTTGTTCACAAAGACCTGTTTGAACAACAGAGTATGATGACAAAGCATATTACAACATTACAGAAATGATGCATTATTCCACAAGGTTTTTTTCAAGGTATCAGATAAAAGGATTCCAAATTTTGTCAAATTGTTTAGGTTTTCTTTTCAAATAGTCTAATCAGAGGTAATTTCTCCAAGTCACAGTTTACATGTAGGGGATTCCTTTTTTTTTCCAAAACAGTAGCAGAAGTGTGCTTAATTGAACTGAATGTGGATTTAATATGCTTCAAAACCTAAATATATTTTTCAAAATTGCAGACAATGTAATACCAACTATAGGAAATGACACTTATATGACACTTTTTAAACTTTAATGACTTAAAACAAGTAATGTACTTTTAAAAAGTACACTTTATATTAGTGTAAAACGAAAGGTGTTATTTATTCAAGTAACTTCTGTCATAAATTAAGGACACTTGTTTTGATGTGTTTTCTAAAATACTAAAGTTCATTTAGAGTACTTTAATCATTTTAAGATTGTGAAATGTCAATAGCAACTTAATAATTAAAAGTGTGTAATTACAAATATTTGTATGTTGCTGAGAAGATATTTCTATTAACCAGAGTGTTATTTAGCTGATCTTACTTCAGTTTAACTTCAAGATCAATTAGAAAAGAAGGACTGTGCTGATAATCTAATTTTACATCAGTTTATACTATAATGCATTTTAATTTAATTGTAAAAACACACAATTGCTGTAAAAAAAGTTTAAAAAAAAACTTGTGTGCAAAAGTTAGCTTCTTTTTAAACTGTGAATATTTTTACTGCACCCCTGTGCCTTAATATGTAGTGTGTTTTATTAATTTTGCAGTCATTTTGCAGTTATATTAAGGACATTAGAAGATACTCTATTCTGAAGGAAGCCAGAAAATGTTTCACACAAAAGTTTTGTTTGGTTAACTGAGTAAGTGAATCATTCGTTTGGTCAATATCTCTATCCTTCCAGCTGGTTGACGCTTTGAAAGAACAAGAGGAGATCAACTTCCGTTTGCGGCAGTACATGGACAAAATCATCCTGGCCATCCTCGACCACAACCCCTCCATTTTAGAGATCAAGCATTAGACTGCAGAGCTGAGAGGACTCACCATTGGCAGAGAGCTCCCTCTTCAGGCCGGGAGTGAGAAATGTCCCTTCTTTGCCCTTTACACCAGTCCATCATGTATTCACAGGGCAAGTTTTACAGTACTGTCGAAATTATGGTGTCTATGTCTCTCACAAACAGGTTACAGTTTCCATCACCGCTCATGTCATCATGCTCTGTAGAAATGACAAGAAAATTTGATGAAACTGGAATCTAGAGTAGAAATGTACTTTTCACTCTAAGTTAAATACACACTACCTCTGAGTATGTACAACTCAGTGTTGTATTCTACACCAACAAAACACGTAGAATTATATGAAATATCACACCATAAAAAGAGCTAAACATGGCACGTGGGGGTTATTATTATTAATATTGTTAGTATTATTTGAACATGTTAATCAGCCCTCAGGCCTTTGAAGTCTTAACAATCCAGTGCTGAATCAACAAACAGAGCAATAGAAAGACTGCATAATAACTAAACAAGCAGGTGAGGAAGCATGTGTTAATGCTCTCTGTGAATTAAAACAAGTCAGTCCATCATTAAATAAAACACACTGCTGTTTGACTGATGCGTTCAGTCGTTAAATAATCCTACAGCTTCTGACAGGTCTGTACGTGATGTTACCAGTAAAGAAGCACAAGCGAGCCGTGTGAGTACAGACGATGCAATTTGTACAATAGCGTATACATATAGAGAGAAAAATCTATAGATTATGTGAAATAAGAAAGGTTTATTTTTCTTAGAAGTCTAAGTTTGGATGACATGGTTTGGTAAAGGATGTGATGAGTGAGAGGTAGATGATTATTATATCATGATATTTTCTTGGCCGAGAGAGCTTAATGTGCTGCGATTTAAGAAAACACATTGCAATTAAAAAAAAAACACCAGCAAATTGAGAAAAGATCTTCATCCGTTTGACAGCATATGTGCTGCATTTTCCCACAATGCAAACAAATTAATAAAAAACATGCTGCATTTTCTCACAACACTTGCTAAAAGAACGGAACACAATAGAAATGTTTTAAGTGGACCCAAAAACATGTCGAACGCCGCTGTGCCATGACTTATGCTCAGTGAAGTTGTGGGTGATCTTTGAAAAGGAGTTTTAAAGGGCACCTAGGTTACCCCTTTTTTCAGATTTAATATAAGTCTTTTGCGTCTCTAGAATGTGTATATAAAGTTTCAGATCAAAATACCCATCAGATTTTTCATTATACCTTTTACAAGATGCTGTTTTATACTGATTTCCAGCAGGGGGTGGTTTTGTCGTACTGCGCCTTTAAGCCGAGTTCTGCCCGCCTACTGTTTCTACATGCCTCCTCCCTCAGCTGCATCAGACAACAGACAGACTTAAAGGAAGAAGGTCTCACGTAGCGTTTGTGAGATACTACAGTAAGAACTAACCTTTACTAATCAGTATTGTGAAGTTGCATTGATGAGTCACACACAATATCGTTACGAAGTTAACGCGCGCGCACACACACACACACACTCACGCACACACACACACAGATACACACGGACACACAGGCAGGCAGGCAGGCAGACAGACAGAGCGCGCTTAGCTTAGTTAAGGCTAACCTCAAGTACTGTGTGGATATCTGTTATGCTAATGTACAAAATAAACCTGATTTAACTTCCACAAACCGGGATTGAAGCGTCTTCTTTTATAATTGTTCTGACACGCGGCTGTGCTGATAAAGTAAAGCTGAAGTAAATCGCTGTAATTAATTACACACGTGCACTGTTTTAAAACACTTTAAACATGTGAAACTCACTCTTAATCACATTTGATGATGATTGCTGATCCTAGCGAACAGAACAGACCTTTTATTCCCGGTTGCATTGCGTATGTCTGTCTGGTCTTGTTGACATATACACGTGACTACCGGAACATGTTAATGCGCGCAGCTATCAATCAATTCGGTGGGCGGGGGGATCGCACACCTACGTAATGGTGCGATCGATTTGAAAACAGCTCCAATTGGCCGACCCTTTTTTTGTAGTTAAATTGAAAAAAAAGGACTGGGTGTGTTCATATCACCCCAGTATGACGGTCTATACACTATACCAGCGGTTCTCAAACTTTTTTCATCAAGTACCACCTCAGAAAAAAATAGTCTCTCCAAGTACCACCATAATGAGCAGTATTGAAATACAGTAGCGTAGTAGGCCTACTACAGCAGCTACAACTCTGCACAGTAAAAAAAACGTGGCAGATCACCTCAGAAATGTAGGCTATATGTCATATTTGGCATATTATAAACATAATTTTTGATAAATTTTGAAATATATGTAGCATGTACATGACATATTTCATTCCTCCGTGTACCACTAGAAGGAAGTCTGCGTACCACTAGTGGTACACGTACCACAGTTTGAGAACCACTGCACTATACCAACACACAGATCTGTCCAAACAGTTTGAAAAGTAGATTTTTTTACCATAGGTGCCCTTTAAGATTGTTTTGATTTTAGCATCCTACTTCCCTTGTCTTTTGTATTTTATTAGCCTAAATAACCATAGCTGCATTTGAAATCGCCTACTACTCAGTAGGCACTGCATTTAAATTTAAATGTACTACATGGTCGTTAGAAAAGTATGTCCTATACAGTATGAATGTGAGTAGTATGGTAATTAAACTTGAACGTACTACATTGGCCATTTTGTCATGATCATGTGACCTACCCGCGTCTGTTGCGTCGCTTCACTCCCATTTATGGGGCATCAGAATCTCGCTGGAAGTAGTAAGTCATCCGGGTACTTCTCGCATACTGTTTTTCGAATTCTATGAATTCAGACATACTACTCGGATCTCATACGGTTTTTAGTGTACTATTTAGTATGGAAGTGTGCACTTTGGGATGCAGTTCATAATTTAAATAGCTGGGTCTGTCAGGTTTTAGGGTCCCCTTGAAACATTTCTGTTCCGTGCTATTTGAAAGTGTTGTGAGAATTTGCTTTGTTTTCTTAACTGTTTGCGTTGTGAGAAAACGCAGAGTGTTTGTTAAAATTGTGTTTCGGTTGTGAGAATTTGCAGTGTGTGTGCTGTAAAAATGAATGAAGATGAACAAGAGGAGATCAACTTCCGTTTGCGGCAGTACATGGACAAAATCATCCTGGCCATCCTCGACCACAACCCCTCCATTTTAGAGATCAAGCATTAGACTGCAGAGCTGAGAAAATTCCTGAAATTTGCCTGCGCTTTTCTTAAATTACATGTGTTTTCTTAAATTTCAACAAGCTCTCGGCCACCGTAAGGAACCCCACTAAATTATGATCATAATACAGTGTGATTAAACATAAAGATTATGCTCTGTGTCTCTATTAGAACAATGTGTGGTCTTAAATCTCAAATATATGCAAATTCAGACACTAGCTTTAAAAGTTTGGGGTCATTGAGATGTATATTTGTAATAGAAAATAAACCTGTAGAGCTACGATGCACTGAATTAATCAAAAAGTGACAGAGAGTTCAAATACAAGAATTTCAAATACATGCTGTCTTTTTAAACTTTCTATTCATCAATCTAATTTACAATCCCGCAAATTTGTTTCCAGAATTGTAAAAAAAAAAAGCTAAATATTTAAGCGCAAAGTCAGCATATTAGAATGATTTCTGAAGTATTGTGATTTCTTACTCTAAAGACTGGAATAATAACGCTGCTTTACTTCAGGTTAAAAATCTTACTGACCCCAAAACTTTCCAACAGTATATATAGGCTAAATATGAAATAATAATAATAAAAAAAAGAAAATTCTCAGTTTCTCTGGATTCACAACTTTCTGTGATCCAAATTTTTATTTGTATATTTAACGCATAAAAAACTTTTTTTCATGTTTTCTCACATGAATAAATTAACACAGACACAATAACAATGTTTTAACTTCTTTCTTTTAAAAAGAGTTTGTGGAATAATCCTGATTTTCAATCATTCATTCATTTTCTTGTCAGCTTAGTCCCTTTATTAATCTGGGGTCGCCACAGCGGAATGAACCGCCAACTTATTCAGCATGTTTTTACACAGCAGATCCAGCCGCAACCCATCCATGGGAAAGATTTTCAATCACAGCAAATTAATTTATTTGAAATTTCTACCTATTTATAATTTTAACTTAATTTTAATTTTAAATCTAACGACAACATTTGAAATTGCTAAAGACATGTCATTATACCCTTCCCAGTACTGGGATGTGGCTGGACGGGCATCCGCTGCATAAAAAAAAAATATATGCTGGAATAGTTGGCGACCCCTGACAAATAAGGGACTAAGCCAAGGGAAAATGTGTATCTTAATAAATGAACACAGATGTTACCATCTAAATCAAATGAATCCAGACAAGCTGAGAATTTGAATAAATTCTAAATATGTTCATATGTTAATATTGTACATCAGTGCCATGGGTAAAGGAAGCTGCACAGTTAACTGTCATAAGCAAGTGCTTGAACTGTACATCCCATGAATGTATCACCACACTCACAGTATTCCGTATTCCCCGATTCCCATCTCTTAGATTTAGCCAGTCAAACACGACGTGATCATCACAGTATCTTCGATTCTTGTGTAGTTTACGGAAAGGAGCCAAAACTGCTACACGCTCGATTGTCACAAACTAGTTTTGCTTTGTTGCACAAATTGTACTGAATCTGTTTCTTTGCATGGTCTTAATCTCCTTCTGTTTGTGTTTCCTTTATTTGGAATGTAACAATGACTGTTTTTTGGATTGTTTCAAAAACTATTAATCATTTATAGAGGAGCTTTTATATCTTTCTGTTGGACTTGTGTTGTAGCATTTTGTTTTTCACTCATTGTAAATGTTGTACAGAGACTAGTTAATATTTGTATTGATGTGCCACTCATCAACTTTAATGAATAAAGGAAAGGCTGTCTTTTATAGTTTTATGAGAAAACAGTAAGTTAGACGTGCGACCAAGTAATGTATAAATCATTTGTAACTGTCACAGACAAAACTCATTCTTCATTATTAATTTAAAGAAAGGAAATTGGATTTTAAGCTCATATTAAAACTTTAATGTTTCATATGATTTCTGTTCAACACTTGGATGACCAAACCCTGACCCAGTGTCGTTTTTTCTTTTGCACATTTTAAGGAGTCGTGCTGTGTCTGTGTCCACTGCTACAGGTTAGACATTACACAGTTTGTGGGTCATGGTTAAGACAACCTTTTTAATTTACTTTTTTTTTTTTTTTTACACCTTTTCTTTGGTTGTTATAGAAAAGCATAGACCTTTCTTTTGTCCAGTGTGTGGGTATATAACTAGATCACTATTACTTGTTTATATTTCACAAGTAGGAAAGGACAAATGAAAATAAAAAAGCTTTCAGAAAATTAAACAATTGCCTCAAAGTTATGACAAATTTGAAATGTACAATAAATGACTTGTTTGGCATGATTTGAAATGATGAGACTTTTTTTTTATTGCTTTATCAAGAAATAGGTATTAATCTGGGAACGTTACTCTGTTTACTTCAGCTTGCAAAAATTGTCATTTTGTCTGCATCTAGTGGACAAAGTTGGAAACCTATTGCACAGGGGTGCCCACATTTTTTTAAGACGCAGACCTGTAGCCAGGGGGGTTTGGGTGGTCCAGAATTTGGCCCCTATATGAGCTCATTTGTCCCATTTTTGGCAGTATGCCATCATAAATTGTAAAAAAATAACCAGTAGACGAAGGCTTTAAAACTAATGTAATTTTTAATTGTTTAAATTTAATTATACCGTTTTTTATGTTATGTATTTGGTTTTTAAATAACTTTTAACAGATTTCTTTTTTATTTTAATGATGCATGATAATACAATTGTATTTTAAAATAAGTGTTTTTTCATACTTTTTTCAATTTTTTTATTTTAAATTCTAATCTCCTAACATTTCTAAAACTGTATTAACTTAAGTTAAAACTGTAATAACTTAATAAGTTTAAACACACACTTCTAAATAAACACTTTGAGGTAAAATAGTATGGTAAGCACTTTGACAAAATTGTTGGAAATATTTTTGTTGCGTCAAAGAGTGTGGTTATGATCAGAATCTGACAAGCTAATGCAGCAAAGATTACTGCTTAAAATGTCACTAAAATGCAACATTTAAACTTCATAATTTAATAAAAATTGAGGGGAATAACTGCAAAAAGTTCACATTTTTGAGAAAAAAAAGATCCACCCCTTTCAATAGGCTGGCTTTGGGCTTGTGATGGGCCCAAAACTAAACTTAATTGAGGACTGCAGGCCGAAGGTAAAAAGACCAAACTGTATTACATTAAAGTTTGCATGAGTAATTTTCTAATTTATTTCCTAATATTTCAAAAACATTGCTTTAAACTATATTATTTAATGCAGTATATTAAAAAAAAATGATAATGAACTTATTATAGTGAAAACATAAACAACTCCATTATTAATACAATGGAGTTCAATGCTGAATACACTTAGCTGCACCTGCCTTTGCCTTCATTTGCTCAACGATGTCTTGTGCATTACCTGGTATTCATTAAGTGACAGTATTCACATTAGGAATAAAAATCAGATTCATTCACAAAACAAAATGTTACATAAAATTTTTAAATGATAATCTATCTAATATATAGTGAATAGCAGTGCAGTAACAGAGATGCTCACATCAGCCCAGATGTGTGTCTTCATATATATAGTAAAATATACAGTAATTTTCACTATATATATAAGTAGGGCTGTAGGTAGGGCTGTCGCCTCACAGCAAGAAGGTCGCTGGGTCGCTGGTTCGAACCTCGGCTCAGTTGGGGTTTCTGTGTGGAATTTGCATGTTCTCCCTGCGTTTGCGTGGGTTTCCTCTGGGTGCTCCAGTTTCCCCCACAGTCCAAAGACATGCCGTACAGGTGAATTGGGTTGGCTAAATTGTCCGTAGTGTGTGTGTGTGTGTGTGTGAATGTGTGTGTGGATATTTCCCAGAGATAAGTTGCGGCTGGAAGGGCATCCGCTGCGTAAAAACTTGCTGGATAAGTTGGCGGTTCATTCCGCTGTGGCGACCCCTGATTAATAAAGGGACTAAGCCGACAAGAAAATGAATATATATATATATATATATATATACATATATATATATATATATATATATATATATATATATATATATATATATATATATATATATATATATATATATATATATATATATATATATATATATATATATATATATATATATATATATATATATATATATATATATATATATATATATATATATATATATATATATATATATATATATATATATATATATATATATATATATATATATATATATATATATATATATATATATATATATATATATATATATATATATATATATATATATATATATATATATATATATATATATATATATATATATATATATATATATATATATATATATATATATATATATATATATATATATATATATATATATATATATATATATATATATATATATATATATATATATATATATATATATATATATATATATATATATATATATATATATATATATATATATATATATATATATATATATATATATATATATATATATATATATATATATATATATATATATATATATATATATATATATA